TATATTGCATATATTTTGGCAGCATGTTTTCATTAAGACATGTCTCATTGAATAATTTAGAAAAGTTTTGTTTACTTATTTTCAATTAGATGAGGGGCCTATTGAAAATAAGTAGACAAAACATATATATTCTCAGACAAACTTCTTAGTATTGTTATTAAAAGAAAAGAGAAAATTACCATGTTGATACATATTCATTTATTTCGAGTACTTTCAACATTAGCACAATGTCATCATCAGCATTTGTTTTTTCTAAGACAAATAGTCAAATGGTCATAGCCTTCTGACTTTAAGGCACAAAAGAACAAAAAAATGTGATGATAAGAAATTCCAGCATGTATCTGCAGGATTTGTCTATAAATTTGGGGAGGGCAGGGGTGATATTTAGCAGTCAATCCAAACAGATGGTAACCAACAAAATATATTTAAAACACCCCTGAATTCTGTTCTTTTATTGTCCTTTCTCAGTATTCTCTTTCACTCCCAGTAACCCCTTACACCTTAATGGCATTATTGCCTTGCATGGGATGAAATGATTTTAAAAAAAAATATAAAAGTTTTTTCAAATATTATTCTTTTTTTAACAGCATTTTTCAAGTGAAAATTGTAAAGAGCCACTTAATGTGAATTACATTTTGTCTTACTAATCTTGATTTTGTTGAAATAAAATTCTTTTTCTAATAACAGTGGTTCATCAGTGAAACATGTCAAAATAGAAGTTTTCCAAACAGTCTATATAAAAAATTAAACATCCCAATTGGTCAAATTCCTACATAGAATTGAATAAAAGTGTTAAATAATAGTTTCAGACTATTATTTTTTAGTGGCAGTGTATTTGGCTCAGACCTTCGGAGGCTGTCCTTGGGGTCAGCTGGTAGACAAAATAGGGAGCCAAACATGGGAATGTTAGAGAGATAGTTATATCGTGGAGTTAAGTTTTATGCATCAAAGAATGCAGACGTGTTAATTTTGTGTGCAAGGAACTTGCTCTCCAGTGGGGGTGATAGAGCGACCTCACTGGCTGGTTAAAAATGTACATGTCAATGTGTTTAATAAAAAAGATAAGTTAAAAATCTCTTTTGTTGAAGTTCTCATTTATTGCCGAAATAAAAAAAACAACTGGCGATCACCCAGCCGAGAGAAGAAAGAAAAGAGAGGGAAGATGCAATGTTATGAGTGAACCATGATCACTGCCCCTAGACTATTCCTAGCACGAAGTGGGTATACATTATTTGGTGAACAGTGACCAGCTGGAAGGGCGCAAGTGAACCAGGTTTAAAACACAACGTGGAAAAGTTTGGAGAAGATTTTTGAGGGAGGACTTGTAAAAAAAAAAAAGGATATAAAAAAAAGTTGTCGAGACATATTGGATAACCTGTAAGTATGATGATATTACTTTGTTCTACTGCCACACACACACACTCACACACAGATCTAAGCAACAAACCAAAATAGGAAGTAATGAAAAAAATGAGGAAAAGGCATTTTTTGATGGACAGACAATAGAAAAAAGGACAAGCAGGGAAAAGAAAGAAGGAAAGGACAATGAACACCCACACTCACGCATACACACTGATGTGACAAGGTCAATTTTCATGAAACATTTTAGCAAGAGACTGATTTTGATTGTTTTGTCTTTTACAAAAGTTTAGACCATGTGCAGAAATTTATTGTTTGATTTTGATTGGCATGCTTTAAATGAGGTCATGTTTAGCATGATTTTATGTTGTATATGCTGTAGTTATAATTTTTATTTTGTTTTAATCTGGTCACGAAAGTTTCACTGTTAAGAAAAAAATTTGAGCAGTTTTGATAATTGGCTATGTGAAAGCCTGAGTTTGCATACATTAATGCAATGGAAAATTTTTTTTGAAAAAAAAAGACTGATGACATTTTGTGATGGGGAATTCCCACTGTGATTTCTGTGGACTGTTAATGATTTGAAAGTTTTTGTGACTATGGTTTTGCATCCATTCAAACGTTTTAAGTTTAGAATTATTTTGTAAATTGTAATTAATTGACAAATGATTGTTTTTCATTTTTGTAACAGAGTGTGGAATTTTTTTTTTTTATTTTAAGAGCCATGTGTGTGTCCTTTTGCCCTTATTGGTTGAAGAATTAAGTTGTTAATTGGTGAATTTTGAGAATTAAGTTTTTTTGTGAAAAAAGTAAGTTAGCTAATTGTTGTGGGAATAAGTAGATTCAGTTTCCAGGGTTTCAGATTTCCAAAGGTGTTTAGGTCTGTGTCCTGGGATAGAAATGGTCACACCTAGCTATGTAGTTATGGAACTGGTGATTTATGGGGAGTAAAATGGGGGTCTGTGCACCATGAAGTATTTATAGCAAATATAACTTAAGATACCACCAGGGCCAACTTTTGAGGCCCACGATGACCTAGTGGAATTGGTCAAGTGGCTTGTGTGATGTCAATCTGCAGTAGCAGCTAAGGAAGAATTCCTTGTAACCACAGTAGAGCCAGTAAAGGATTAGTTAGGAGATGTTGAGCAGGTGTGGTTGTTTTTCCCCATGGGGGCAGCCAGGGGCAGAAGAATTTGAGATGTTGTGAGCTGAGTTTTGGACACACATGAGCTGAGCAATAACAGTAACTATAGGAAATTAATGAGGATAAAAAAATTGTGAAGATCTGTTCATGTGCTTCTGGCAAAATGCAAGTAAAAAAGCAATTAATTGGTTGTTTAAATAAATAGGGGGATAATGAACCATGTGTGCTGTGTCACTGTGACTACCCTTAGCATGAAGGAGGTATACAGCAAAAGGATGGCAATTGTATAAGCACAAACAATGTTTACAATTCTTGCAATTGTGTGGCAGCTATGCCAGAATACTAGTCAAGTAATGATTGCTCTCAGCTGGGCCATGGGAGAGAAAGTCTGATGTCATGGAGACTCGAAACTTTCTATGATCCCAAAATAGACATCACTGAGGAAGCATTTTGATGTGCATTATATGTGTATGTTGTAATGGAATGTCCCATACTCCCTATCACATATGTGGACTGACTATATTGGTAGATATATATAATGAGTACAGGATATACCATGGACTTGCTTCAGGAATTACTAGCCTGCTAACCAATTCCCTGACTTTCGGTAGTACATTCTCTTTTACAATAAACCTCTCTTTCTTTCATCTACACCCATGTTGCTGTTCCTTTCACTCGAGTACCACCTTTGTCTGTTTGTAACCTTCTTTAAGAATACAACAGTGTATAATAAAAAAAATAAAAAAATGAAATGAAACCAGCCTTGACTAAGTGTCAGGTAAGAATTAAGTTTTATTATCCCAGTTGATCATACATTGGAATAAATAAATTGATCACATTTAAGTAGACACAAATAATTACAGATCTTACATTGGAATAAATAAATTGATCACATTTAAGTAGACACAAATAATTACAGATCTTGCAAATTATGTGGAAGCTATGCCAGAATGTTAGTTGAGAAATGAGCATTTTCGACTAGGCCCATGGGAGAGAAAATCTCATGTCATGGAGACTCGAAACTTTCTATGAATCCAGAATAGACATCACTAAGGAAGCATTCTGCTGCACAACATATGCATATAAAATGAACAACTACATATCAATATATAATTGTGTAGATGTTACATATAAGATATTTGGACAGACTTAACCTATTTTTCCTTTTTAGTGTCATTTACACACCATGATCTTAAATTCAGTGATAGGTGGGAAACGACTTAAACTATTGCCAGAAGATAGTCAAGGTGTCCTATGTGTCATACTTAAAAAACCTAAAATTTACTGTGACGTATTTATCAGTAGACGACCTTTCTTGATACCATTTTCATTGGGGTGGGAAGTGGTAAAATTGGTCGATAAATAAAACATCTGAAAGTTTTACTTCATAAATATGCAAAGTTAGTAAGATGTCTACACATTGTGAATTCATTCACACTCTTGCATGCATCTGCGCACTAATTAAGAGTTCATAGACAGGCTCACCCAAAGTTAAAAACAAGCCACGAGAGTTTGGGTAGATGGTAACAGTTATAGTAATATTAGTCATTTCTCTACAAGGAAACATTTGGTATTCATTGACTGAGCAGCCATTATAGCTGTTGGTTAAAATTTATAAAATCTTTTTCTTAAAATAATTTTTTCCAGAAATTTTTTTTTTACTTTTCTGTCAATTCACCCAAAACAAGGGGTAATTGGTTAACAGAGGACGGAAAATGTGACTTAAAATAAAAAGATGCAAAGGAATAGTGAACTATGTCTACCAGAAACTTAAACAATTTGCTGATTCTTTTTTGGATTTTGTCAAGAATTTCTAGATACATCGCAGAAGTACCAAAACAGATGTGGCATGAATATTCAAGACTTATGTAAACATTTTAGTTGCTAAATAATGGAAAATTAATTTTTTTATTTATTTTGAAGATTAATTGAAGTAATGAATTTAGACAAATGATACCGTTCAGTTCAATAGCAATGTCATAGAGTGACGTCAAGTGGTCATATCTAATCTTCTTTTTCGTTCTAGTTTCCAGCAAAAAGGAATTGGGTGCTTCAGCCATTCTGAAGGTCACCTTATAGTACTGTGGATACATTGTTGAGTTATTGCATAGGGATATATGTCTGGATAACTCACAGCTGTCCTGGTGTCAGAAATTATCAGCATTTGTTTTTTCTTTTTTTTTCTGTGTGTGTGTGTGTGTGTGTGTGTGTAATTGAATGAATTGTTTTTTTATGGCTTATCAACCTTTTGCAGGTTATTTAAAGCCAGAAAATATTTTTAGATTGTAAGAATTTTTTCTTTTTTTGGAGATGATAATGATTTACTGATAAAAGTTATACTAATTAACCCATAGCTGGGAAGAAGAAGAGGTGGATTCATACCTTTCCCAAGGTTATTTGTGCATAAATGGATATAATGAACCTGATTAGAATTGGAACTTGGCTCCCCAATTTCCAATTCAAAGCCATTATCCATTATACCACACACTCATCTAAGCTTACAGCACCTGATATTCTCAAGTAGTCACCCATCCAGGAACTGACCAGGCTCGATGTTGCTTAACTTTAGGGATCATAAAAGAACTGGTGTTTCAACATGAAATAGCCATAAGGCTTATACCACCCACAGATCCAAGTTTACACAACCTGGTATTCTCAAGGAGTCACCTATCTAGGAGCAGACTAGGCTTGATATTGCTTAACTTCAGTGACTGCACAAGAACTGGTGTTTCAATATGATATGGCCATAAGCCTGCATTTGTGTCAGCTATAAAGATTAAGGGCATTCAGTTATATAAACACTTTATAAATCAAGAAAAGTAAACCTGTTATAAAAAATTGTAAAGTGTGATGAAAAGGTGATTTGAAGCAACAGAGATGAATGCTAAGAATATTATGGACAAAGCATGTGAGCAACAAGGAAGTTCTCAGGAAAATAGAACCAAAATAATTATTTAGGGAGACAATGAATAATCTATTAATTTTGTGTCAGCTGATAGAATTTGGAACTAAGTTTTCAGTTTTCAACACTACCTAGCCGTCAATTTAGTATTGCACTTAAATTTGTAAAGACAAGTTAACAGAGAGTAAAGTTCATCAAAACAATTTCCATGAAAATATTTATAGAAAAGGCACAGGGAAGCTATGTTACAGCAATGGGAAAGTGATGGAAGCTGAGATGCTCTATATATTTTTCAGACTTAGAAATTATGGTCAGCCTATTTATCTGGTCACATTTCATCTTATACATTCACTGGTTTTCATATCTAAAACAGTAGAGCAGTTGTCAGACATAAATAGTCTTCTCAAAATAAAAGTGATGTTGTTTCTCATCTCACCTAGAGCTTATTATTTATTCACCATTTGTACTATTTATCACATTTGATGGCATATAAGGTGCACTTTTTTTTTTTACTAAAAATATCTTTTAAAACTCCCCCGCATCTTATATGCCATATGTAGGTTTAAAATTTGTCATAGTTACCGAAATTAGTTACCTGGCAATTCCTATTAGCTTAGACTTTAGAGTAACTTTTATATACCTATAATGTCATAATTTAAAAGGCTATTATGCAAATTAAAAGTGTTATCATTGGTAATATTCATTATATTAATTTCATCACGTTTAATATTAGTACTTTGTTTCACTACAATTATATGCAATAAATTCAAATTATATATTTATAAAATATATTTGTTTTATTAATATTTTTCTTATGATAACTTCCAGTTGCATTGGTATAAATACAATAAGAAATTTTATATCCTAATTATTCCAATAAGATGTTTACAACATGCAGGTTGTACAGATTGTATAAAGGCACAGGCCCTTTTTTTCCTATTATTTTTCATTTAATTGTAACAATGGTTTGTTTAACCAAAATAATACCTCATAAATATAGCCTGGGCTGTACCATTTACTAATAATTCTACTAATTTTACTAATTACTAATTTTTTCTTGATTTGCCCTGCTGAAATTTGTGTTTGTCTTATACACCCATGTGTCTTATATGCCATCAAATACAGTACCTTTGACTGTAGAATTACAATCTGACAAGTTGCGAGAAAAAGCAAAAGAAATACTAGTAAGAAAAAATCTAGTAATTGTTGGCAATGCAACATCTAATAATAATATAATGATGTTGTTGTGCCTGTTAATCAAAACACAAGACTTAATCTCTTATATTTAACATTACATTTTATTTCTGTCTATATTTCTAAGATGAGGTATTGTAACTATTTACATTATTCACATTGTTTGAACTCTTGACCTCATCTTTATTGTCATATTCACAATGTTTCGGTTGGTGTACACTCCAGCCTTCTTCAAATTCCAACTAATATCTCCTGAAGAATGTTGGAGCATACAATGTCCAAAACATCGTGAATATAGCAATAGAGATGAGGACAACAGGTCTGAGCAATCATTCAAATGTAGACCTTACATTCTCATTTGAAATGCCTTGCCATTTGGGTGAGTGTTTGGAAATCTATCTCTGTCATATAGTTTGTTTCCATACTTGAAAGCTCAAATGTAGCTGGTTTGTCACATGGACCACATTTGGGAGGTCACTCAGTTCAGCCCTGTACCTGGCTTCTTTTACTCTGAGTGTAAAGTATATTATGCACAATCTAAAGTGAGACAAATATTAAGTTGAGTAATAAGTAATTCCCATGGGTTGGTATTCAGCGGCTAAGACATCTCAAGTCAACCTAGTACCTGGCTTCTCTAACGTCACTCTGAGTGCAAAGTGTATTCCTGCATGATCCAGGGTGTGATCCATACTACAATAAAAACAACAGTCAACATAATATTTTTCTTTTATGTTCTGTGTGCCTTCAGGATGTATATGATCATGGTTTTCTATGCTTTGTAAACCTATACAATATTTGTTCTTTTAATATCCCTCCTAATCACTATTTTACACAAACTGTTTAGGTAGGTTTCACATTGGTTTCCTCTTCCTTTCTTACTCTTGGTTTTTGTTGTAGCATACTTACGGACGATAATGGGTATGTCCCCATTCACATAAATACAGTAGTAAATACTGCATGTTGGTCTGCAGTTAAAGATTCATTGTGGAATTCACTTGTCTCACTTCTAGCAGTTGATTACTTCTTCTACACAACACTGGGGAATCTTATATGTGTTATTCTTGTCCTAAGTATTATTGTTCATTACCAACCTTCGTTCGATTATTCCATTCAGTAACCTTTCCTAGGTTACAACATTTTGGCAACAAGGATTAGCCAAAATTACAACAGTTTTATAAAAATTTATATGATAAAAAAGAAATGTAAAACTATATAAAAATAATTAATAGGTAAATTAAAAAAATAATACAAGGGACTAAGTTTGTTTATCACACTTTCTTTTAAGGGGAGTTTTTAAAAAAAAACAATTATTAAAAGAAGAAACTATCCCTTTCTGATTCTATATCAAAATGTCCTTTTTGTTCCCTTTTCTCATTGTTCTCATTCTATCCATTGTACCATTCTTGGTGTCCTTCTGGAGAACCATATCTCATTTGACCCAAAACCTCTTTTCATCTATATAGAAATTATACAGCATTCACTGGCATACAGGAGAATTGATATTAAAGCAGTTCAGTCATCTTTTCTTAATTTCTAATTAAATTTTCTTGTTTCTTAATACCTTTCCCTTTTACAATACGCCTTCGGAATTCTATGTCAGGTTTTCTAACATCTGTGATAATGCTTCCTAGATAGCAAAATTTCTGTACTTGCTTTATTTTGACACCTCCATTTTGTAGCTTACAGCTCAGGTTACTGTTTCCTAAAAATCTTGATCAAGGCCAAATTCTAGTATATTTAATTTTTTCTATAAGCTAAAAATATGAAACCTGTTTCCAGAATTGAATTACCAAACATAAAATGGTTTTTCCAATATGCCTTCAGAATTCTGTGTCATGTTTTCTACCGTCTGTGATAATGCTTCTTAGAGATCTAAATTTCTGTACCTGCTTTATTTTGATGCCTCCATTTCATAGCTCACAGCTTGGGCTACTGTTTCTTAAAAATCTTGACCAATGCCAGATTCTAGTATATTTCATTGTTTTCTAGAAGCTAGAAATATGAAACCTGTTTCCAGAACTGAATTAACGAACACATAAAACAGGCTGACAAAATTTCTTAATACTTTGTTCAGTATCTTTTGCTTTTCCAATACACCTTCAGAATTCTGTGTCAGATTTTCTATCATCTGTAATAACATTTCCTAGATAACTAAATTACTGGGCTTGCTCTATTTGGATGCCTCCATTTTATAGCTCACTGCTCAGGTTATACCGTTTCCTAAAAATCTTGACCAATGCCAGATTCTAGTATATTTTCTTTTTTCTAGAAGCTAGAAATATGAAACCTGTTTCCAGAATAAAATTACCGAATGCATAGAATAGGCTGACAGAATTAAGTATATCTTAATAATCCTCTTATTTGTTAAACTGGCCTTTAAATACACATAAAATAATATCCATCTTACCATAATTTTGATGTACCTATTAGTTTATTCTTCTTATCTATGAATCAGATTTATACTGACATGTATTTACCAAGCTTAAGCACATGTCAAGGTTACAAGTCATAAAATCATGGTGTAAGTACTTTTTCTTACCTCTTCTGAAATTTTTAGAAATTTCATGTCTATTAACTTTATTTATCTCTTTTTAAAAATTAAAATAGTAATAAAAATAACTACAGTCTAAATCACTATATTCTTGAATGTATAACAAAAAAAAAAATACACATCTTTACATGTTTCTGACATATGATTTCTACTGCATTGGATTTAAATTTAAAATAAAAATACAATGCCATATATGGGCTGGAGCTACCCAGTTTTCACTTTCCAAACTCGATTGAGCCCAAAAGCATCTCTGCTATTCTCTGGCATTACAAGAACCAAATCAGGCTGAAAATGGAGTACTGCTTCCATATATGGGCAAGAGATTCCCAGTCTTCACTTTCCAGTTTCGATAGAGCCCAAAAGTGTTTCCACTATCCTCTACATTTACAAGAGCCAGATCAGGCCAAAAATGGAGTACTTCTGCCATATATGGGCAGGAGCTTCCCAGTCTTCTCTTTCCAGTCTCAATAGAGCCCAAAGGCATCTCTGCTATCCTCTGCCTTTACAACAGCCAGATCAGGCCGAAAATGAAGTACTGCTGCCATATATGAGCAGGAGCTGCCCAGTCTTCACTTTCCAGTCATGATAGAGCTCAAAAGTGTCTCCACTATTCTCTGCCTTTACAACAGCCAGATCAGGCCAAAAATGGAGTACTGCTGCCATATATGGGCAGGAGCTTCCCAGTCTTCTCTTTCCAGTCTCAATAGAGCCCAAAAGTGTCTCTACTATTCTCTGCCTTTACAACAGCCAGATCAGGCCAAAAATGGAGTACTGCTGCCATATATGGGCAGGAGCTTCCCAGTCTTCTCTTTCCAGTCTCAATAGAGCCCAAAAGTGTCTCTGCTAAGATTTGAAGACAGAAAAGAAACAAATGATTCTGAGTTGATATATTTAATCAAGATAATATCTCTTCATTATTAATAACATTATTCCATCTACATCTGTTTATATTTCTGAGA